AAAAAAAAAAAAAAAAAAAAAAAAAAAGCCATTAAAGGAGGGACCAGTCAGAACGAGGCCACATTCCCAACATAGGCAAAGCTGGGTAACGGCGGAACCCATATCCCCCGGGGGTTGAATTGTGAGACCCCGGTCTCGTCAATATTCTTCTGTTACAATATAATAATCTTTATTGGTCTAACAATTCATTCACAGAGAAAAGAAAAGAAAGAGAAAGAAAAAGAAAAGAAAGAGAAAGAAAAGAAAGAAAAAGAAAAGAAAGAAAGAAAAAAACACAGACGACATCCAAGGATGCTTCGACAGCCAGAGTCAGAGAATGTCAAGGTACAGTTCAACAAAGTACAAGCAAGTTATTATTATAAAAAAAAAAACAAAAAAAAAAAAACACAGGACTCTCACAAGCTCCGCATTTAAAAAATCCTCAATCAATAAACAGAACAACAATATTGAGTTAATTTAAGTTATTATTACTTGTTAACAGATTGCTGAATTTCCTAGATTACTGAAATAATTATGAAATTCAATAATTTCAGTTAATTTTGATTGATTGAATTTGATTCAATAATCCAGTAATTATACGTAATTCACTAATTTGTTGTTACCCGCCGTCAGAATTTTCTGCTTCATAGGGAAAGAAAAAGGGAAGGTAGGAGCATACTTTCTTTTTTGAAGGTTTTTTTTTTTTTTTTTTTTTTTTTCTCCGGGAAGGCAGCAGCAGACTTTGCTTTGACCGTTCTCACTTCGATAAGCATCGCGCAAATTGTTAGTTTCCCCCTTTTGTCCCCCATAACTTACCTTCGCAAAGCGTGCACAGTTTTCAACCACCTGCTTCTGATAAGCCTTGTACTCTGGCGTAGCACACTGTTTCAGAAAAAAGGAGGACAAGGGAACAAAACACAGTCACACAGATGCTCACACAGCGAATTGCAACTAGCTCATTCTGACATGGAATTGGTGTGAGGATCTCAACGGAGAAAAATAGGACACACAAACAGACACACACAACCTCCTGATGAATTGGTGAACATTCAACGGAATAGTCTGTCACAGGCACAGTCATGCTTTTCTGTGGGGTTGAGCATAGCAAACATGACAACACAAACACACACACACAGGCACAGTCATATGCTTACTTTTGTGGAGTTATGTATAGCAAAGATGACCACACACACACACACAAACACACACACACACACACACACACACACACACACACACACACACACACAGAGAGAGAGAGAGAGAGAGAGAGAGAGAGAGANAGAGAGAGAGAGAGAGAGAGAGAGAGAGAGAGAGAGAGAGAGAGAGAGAGAGAGAGAGAGAGAGAGAGAGAGCTAACCTGCTTCAGAGCCACAGCCAACCCAGCTATGGTGTGATTGTGAGGCCCACCCTGGAGACCTGGGAAGACAGAAAAGTTGATCTTCTCCTCAAAGTCGTATTTGATCTGACATGTGACGACAAAGCATAACAGACGTCAATAACCGAAATGAAAGCCGCATCCGTCATCCAAAGCCCTACCTACACTCACATGTTCCGTACTATCACAGAAAGGGAGTATCAGCTGCGGAACCCAAAAAACTTGCTCAATCCCACACACTGATATGGCCCATCTGAGATTCAGCTACCCTGTGATCGGCATGCGTTGCGTTGTGACGGTCCCAGAGTCCGCCCCCAAAGTGGAACTCTCCTGTCCGCAGGGGTGGCCATTTACCAAGGTTGCCATAGTGACGCCTGCGCTCCTCGACTCGATTTTATCTGCAATCCAAGCACCGACTGCTCTGGGGGGGTAAGTACTGCAAACCCTGTGAGGTTTGTCTGTCCACTGCTCTGTTCTTTGTCCCTCCATTTCCCTCCTCTTCCGCTTCTCCCTCCTCCCTCCTCCATCCCCTCGTGTACTTCTCCTCCCCTTTCCCTTTCCCTACCTCCCTCCCATTTGTCCATCGTCTTCCTCTTCTCCCTCCTCCCTCCTCCCTCCCATCGGGTACTTCTCCCCCCCTTTCCCTTTTCCTTCTTTCCTCCCATTTGTCCCTCCACTTCCCTCCTCTTCCTCTTCTCCCTCCCCTCGTGTACTTCTCCTCCCCTTTCACTTTTCCTTCCTCCCTCCCATTTGTCCCTCCACTTCCCTCCTCTTCCTCTTCTCCCTCCTCCCTCCTCCGTTCCCTCGTGTACTTCTCCTCCCCTTTCCATTCCCTTCCTCCCTCCCCTTGTGTAGCACTACTCCTTGTAGTAAATGTATACAAATGAGCATCATTAGAGAACAGACAAAATATAAGCTGAAGCTGCTGAACGTATACTGAAAAAGGAACAGTGCACACCCCCCTTCTCCTCTCCCTCCTTTTCATAGCGTGCAAGTGGGCTGTTGTGACACACATGGGGACGCAAGCACGCAGCTCGCATTTAACCACAATCATCATGGTCCGCTTTGTATGTGAGAGGTGCAATGAAAGGGGCGCCGCAAGAAGAAAGTAAAAGAGAAAATCCAAAAGATCCAAAGTAAGGAAGTCTAAGAAAGAACTGCACAGAGCACAAGGAAAATGAAAACTAATGGTTTTACTCAAATTTACTGTTTGTTTCTTTTTTTTTTTTTTTCTTTTTTTTTTTTTAACCAGCGACCAATACTAAAGGGGGTGTTTGCTATAGAAGTAAGGCTGTTTCAATTCCAGATCTACTCATCTGGGTGGAAAGGGGTGGTTGCAGTGACAGCTTACAGCACAACATGCAGAAGCGAATCTCCCACCCTCTTTCACAGTTTCAATGTTTCACCAAATTTTTACAACAGGGGCGAGACCAAGAAAAACACGCGAAATCCTACCTCCTTGCCATTCTTGTCGACTCCTTTGACTCCTTTTCTGAAGAATATCATTGCTCCCCTAGGGCCACGGAGCGACTTGTGGGTTGTTGTCATGACGATGTCCGAATACTCAAACGGGCTGGGAACAACCCCCGCAGAGACAAGACCGCTGATGTGCGCCATATCAGCAAGAAGTACTGCCTTGTGCTTGTCTGCAACCTGCCCACATCCAGTCATTCGTTCATCCATAACTCTTCATTCATCAACAGGTAGAAGCTTGCATACATGCAGATGTGACCTTGATCCATTCCTTGCCCATCTTGCCATTCACCCATTCATTCATTCACTCTCTCTCTCTCTCTCTCTCTCTCTCTCTCTCTCTCTCTCTCTCTC